GTGTGTGTGTTTGATTGTTTGTTAGAGAGAGAGAGAAAGAGAGAGATTGTGTGTGTGTGTGTGTGTGTGTGTGTGTGTGTGTGTGTGTTTGCTTGTTTGTTAGAGAGAGAGAGAGAAAGAGAGAATGTGTGTGTGTGTGAGTGTGTGTATGTGTGTGTGTATGTGTGTGTATGTGTGTGTGTGTATGTGTGCATGTGTGTGTGCGTTAATGTTCATGCACATGCCTTACTTTTATAAACCAGTGAAGGGTTTTGATTGTTGTTTTTGCTTTGTTTATAATTTAATGTTGTTGTTGTTTTTCTTTCTTTCTTTCGTTTGGACAATATTTGGGGGATATGAGGAGATCTACAAAATGTTGCTGTTAAGGCATGTATTATTCACAAGAGTATATTGTCGAAAATTGCGCTAAAGCAACATAATATAAATGTTTTCCTCCGTAAATTGGAACATTACATATTAACCAGATAGAAGTCCACATTTGCAAGAAACATAATTCTGGTGGCAAAAAAGGTAATGATGGCTGTATCCCAAAGGGGTTTTCTATTCAGTACTGGAACTCATGGCAATGACGTCTCATGTCAGACACTCTGGCATTCTTGCCATTAATAGTACATGGCCCTGACGTCCGTATTTACATGAGCGATAAAAGACAACTCTCCTCAGCTCCACAGACAGGAAAAAGATGTTAAAACAGGGAACATGGATGGCTGGTGCCTATATAAATAAATTATTGATGATGGTGGTTCCCCCAGAGCTTTGGCATATATAATAGATGTCAGTGCAAGCTTATAGTTATTCTCCCTAGACCGTCTAGACGTATTCACTTGAGTCTCTAATAGCAGTCACCAGTCTGTTGGACTATGCTTGTTCTTGCCCTGAACGCACAGCATCTCAAACTAGACACATGCGACTCCTGTACGTTTATGTGGGAGACGTCACCTCTATAAACTCTAGTACTATAAATAACCCCTAACAAATTTTTGAATCTTAGAATACAAGAGCATAACTTGGATACAAAATACAAAAGTAAAATTGGCGTACAACCAAAGGTGAGTACAATGTGAAATTTCAAGGAGAGGGCTTACAAAATGGTTTACAAAATAACGTTGTTTACTGAGTGAAAGAAATCAAATGTGTTAGACCATGGCTAAAATGTCTATGTATCGTTGGGCTAGGGATGTCGTCCGGAGGATAAAGAGGGGGGGGGGGGTGCTGTTTGTCACCATCAAAAGTAAGGTTAGAACATAAAACAAGGTGTTTGATTATGGGGACAGGTTGCTTTTCTTCGGAATATGTTGCTTTTAAAGGTGTCTTGCTCTTAAAAGCATTGGCCTTGAAATGATATATGAATAAAGTCGATGCATGAATTGAAGTCACTGTCAAACATTCTTCCAGTCAGTGCACTGCGGTCTATTGTGGACATATCAACTACTCTTCACAAGGGACATCGAAAGTGGAATAAGGTTTCTGCCTCGTGGGCTACCTTCCTACGTGTCCAGTCCCGATCTGCACCTGACGACCTTGTGATGTGCGGTAAGGAGATTCTTTGAGGAGTCCAAGGATACTCGCAGCATTCCCACTGGAAGCCTTTGAATATCAGCCACATTATATATAGAGCCCTAAACGTGAGCTCATGAGAAATTATTAAAGACATCGAAACCGCCCCCTACCCAAAGCTAATCATCACCCCCTCCCCTTTCTCCCAATTACCTTCAACCCCCCCCCCCCTCCCCGCCCACGCATACACTTTTTTCCTAACCGCTTTATCATTAATTACCGTGACAACAGTCACTTTACTGGTAGCTACAGTTCCAACTTCACCACATTATTATTTTCTTTCTATAAATCTAAGAATGTGTTACCAACAAATCGAGTGAAGTTGCGACAGAACATTTCAAACATGTAATGGATGATTGGTAGATACCTACAAACGTGTGCAAGAGTACATATTAAACAAAGCATTGTACGTTTATTTAAATTAAAACACATGGTAATTTCTCCACAGAAAACCAAAGTACACGAAAAACTTAAGGACAGGTTAAGGGCGTTTACACCAGAACTGTAAGACGGACGGCCGATAACGACCGACAAGCAAAATGCCCGAAATCTAAACGTTTCTGCATAACTGCATTTACAGCAGACTGCTGGTAATCATGGCTTATAAGTTTATTGTCACCAGACCGTTATTTCTGTTTTACACAGGAGGTCAAGTTTCACCATCAACGCTAGAGTAGCGTGTAATTTCAGACGCAAAACGCCTGAAACCCACTCATTACACGGCCGTCGATAAACATGTTCAACTTTTCCTTTGCATGCAACATCGATACGGTCGTATGACCTACATTTCATGGTGTGAACGCACTTTAAAGCCGTTATTAGTCGACAATGATTGTCGATCGGCCGTCCCACATTTCTAATGTGAACGCTCTGTAAGTAAAGGCGGTATTTCCCGTTCAGTTAGAACTGACAGTTGTCCGTCCTCTTCAGGATGAAAACACAACACATGATGCATTCTTGGTAAAAATATTTTCTTTAAGTGATCTTTTTTTTAAGTAAGTGTTTTTACGACTCTCACAACTGCATAATATGGTCACATGAGAGTGCGGGACACATTAAACATTTCCAGTTCGGTAGGAATTGTGAATTGTGCCCGGGTGGCGGCAGAAGCCTGGTTTTATCGATTCTTGGACAACCAATGGATCTTTAACGTGCGCAAATTGAACACGAGACCACCGAAATTTTCGCCCTTATCAAAGAAGGTGAGGTGTTAGATCTTTCCTACCTCAAGATCAGGAGTGTGGTTGAGAGACAGCAATAAGAAGGAGCCAAGGAGTAGCAGTAGAAAGGTTGCAGAAATAGTCAGGAGCCCAGAGGAGGGGCAAAGGATGTGTGGGCGTAGGGGTAGAACGTGGAGACAAAAGCAGACGACGGAACATAGTCAAAAAGTAGGAAAGGGGGAGAAAGGAGAAAATTTTAGAGAACTTTTTCCCGTCACTGTCGGGTTTCAAATGAGTGGCAAACACATTAACCTATGAACCCCGAGAGCCTCCTTTGGTGATCTTCAAAATCCAGCATAAAAAAAAGAAAAGGAAAAGACAGCTCCGAGTCAATTTGTACATTTTTGTACGAAAGTTCCGATTTTTTAATAATCTTTTTACATCGGGACAAAGTTTTTTAATTTGTCTATAAACGAGCATGTTATCACCCGAAGGTAGCAAAGAGTTCAGAAGCCAGCCGAGGATACAATTTTAGTATATTATATAAACTTTTTGAAAACTGAGTCTTATCGCAAAAAAAAAAAATCAAATGGATCCAAGGGATAAAAGTTAACAAAACTAACGACTCAGGGGTCATTCTTTTTCTTGCTATGTTTTGAAGAAAACAAAATATGAAGCATATTTCCCGAGATTGCATCAAACATTGTTTTCCAATCAGAGATAGTCATGTCAACGGCCAGTTTTAACTGCATATGTTATAACCCCCCTACCCCCTGAATGAAATAGAACCAAACATAACGGATAATTACTCACAACGTCACCATTGTTTTAAAAAATATCTCAACATCAACACAAAACAGGGGAAAAGAGCTCACCAATATTACCCAAATCACGGTAGGGAAGTATAGTGAGTCATAAGATGTCAATATACTACAAAAACCATTGCATTTAGCTTTTGCTTTTTAACTCCTTTCGGCAAGCCTCAATTGTGTGAGTACGAAATGCTAGGGATGGATGGAAGGAAGGAAAGCCCGTAAGTGAGGGTATAAGGTAAGGCGCTAAACTCTGGTCAGTGAGTCTTGACCTTTCCCGGCGATCCATTATCAGTGGATAAACTGTTCCCTCTGCTTCTTACAAAAGAACAAAGATAAGTTATGATTGGCTTTTGTTGATTATCGGGGGGGAGTAGGGGTGTTTGGTGGGGAGGGGTTGACGACATATTATAACCGTTGTCTTAACGTCTGCTTTATTTTCTTATTTGGGTTCTTCTAAAAACAAAACTGATGTTCTGACAATGGATCTTCGGTATTGTATATAATATTATGTTCTAGGTTGTGTGGGAAATATTGATTGACTTACCTCATGCAGTTGTTGTTGAACTTGTTGTAGCTGGCCATGGTGATGAGGCCACCCCAGGCCGGTCCCAAAGAGTAGAACACCTGAATGCTTGCCTCTATCCATGTCTTTGGATCAGCAAGTTTACTGTACTCCATTGGCATCAAATGTGTCAGTTTGAGCGGAGCAACAATTTTGAAGAGTAGGCATTTGTGACGATATTTGACCATGTGCAGTATTCCGTAGATCGTGAAGGTTGCCAATGTTAGTTGTTTGATTCATTTGTGTCCATGAGGAACAGGTGAGCGTATGTTTTTATTATTATTTAAGGATTTTTTTTCCAAAATGAAGGGATAAAATGAATGGGTTGCTTGAATTATTGTCCGTTACCGATTACCACATTTTAATGGTTATGTTATTAAAATAAATTATGCATTCAACAGGTGTTTTGATTGATTTACGTAAATAGAGAGAAAAATGAAGTTTATCGTTAGAATTTTGTTTGATTTCGGAGTTCGAATTAAATCGTTGATTTTTCAGATATGGTTTTTGTTAATTGAGTTTACGTTGAATTCCAAGTCAGTCGGCATCCCGAGATCCGTGGAAGGTGGGGCGTGGGAGAGGGGAAGGAAATGAAAACATCGTATTAGCAAGTGATCATTTTATTGCGTAAGGAAAGTTGTCCCCTGGACCGGCAAATCCCTGCTGCTGAAAGGTTAATCAATAACAGGTTTAAAAGTATAAGAACAAGCATAACTGGTCGCTTTTAAGCACAAAGGGGCTTTCCCGAAAAGTGCAGTTTTGAGAAAAACGAAGTTAAAGTTTTTGGACCCATCTTCAGTTTCTTTAAAAGACAAGGAGAGTTTTCTCTTTAACCAAAGAAATATACACAACACTGAAACCAAACTTCTTTTATAGGTAGGGCAATGCCCACTTTTGGTGTAGGTCAAAATTTCGGTTTCCCGAAATCTGGGTTAGCCAGCGTGTCCTTAAAAGAGACCAATTAGTCTGAAACGTTTTGGCTCTAGTTTGTGTTACATATTGATCTAATCGCTGAGTGATATGCAGTACCGGTGGAAATCGAAAACACAACATTTTAAGATTATCTATACTCGTGTTTGTATCAACTGATTTTATTTATCTACGAGAAATATCCTCACGCTGTGGACACAAGAAAGATTGTAAACAGATTTGACTTTTGCATTGGTAGAAAGATCAAAACGCTTTACAAATGAGAATATAACTTTGCTGTCGGACAAAGAACAAATTGTAATATCTAGCTAATGAGATCAGTTCTTATGTAAGCTGAAGCGCCACTTAAATGATGATTGCGGAAACTATTTTTTTTTAAAATGATGAAATATCATATTTAAAAACTAAGTAAACCCTATTTCAGAACTCGAGCAGGGGGATAAATATATCAAAATTAAATTTGGATTGAATATTGTTTGACCGTTTTGATCAGACGATTGTCTTTTTTCCCTTTGAAGTATTCTACACTTAACCCTCCTTTAGAACGAACCTCTTGAAATTTTGAAAGTTAAACTCAGATAAAGAATACAAAAATAAAGCTGCGTATTTAATGGTGACACATTGGACAATATAATATACTCAGAGACATGGCGGACAGCAAGTTTGGAAGCTTACCTCCAACCCCTCACCCCCTCCATTCCTTACACATTACATTAACCCTCTGTCAGTAATGTGACTTGTTAGTGCGTAGAGAGCAATTTTTAAATCCCAGCCCCATGGTCTTACCTAAAATCTGGCTTCACGTAAAAGATGATGCCTTCCATAGCCCCTGACAGGGTGGAGCCCTTTATCACCAGGACAGTGATGAGAATGTATGGGAGTGTGGCTGTCACATACACCACCTGCGTGTGAATTGTAGGTGATGGAGGAAAAAGAGAGAATAATAGGAAAAAATATACAGGTAAATAGAAGAGTCATCACACATCTATTTTTCATTTTCATGGGAATAACAATAATAATATTAATAATAATAATAATAATAATAACAACAACAATAATAGTAATAATAATAATAATAATAATAATGATAATAACAATAGTAATAATAATAATAATAATGCTAATAATAAGGCTACTACTACTACTACTACTACTACTACTACTACTACTACTACTACTACTACTACTACTACTACTACTACTACTACTACTACTACTACTACTACTACTACTACTACTACTACTACTACTACTACTACAACTACTACTACTACTACTACTACTACTACTAATGATGCTAATAATAATAATAATAATAATAATAATAATGATAATAATAATAATAATAATAATAATAATAATAATAATAATAATAATAATAATAATAATAATAATAATAGAATCAATAATAATAATCATCATCACCATCATCATCATCATCATCATCATATTATTATTATTATTATTATTATTATTATTATCATTATTAATAATCATAATAATAACAATAATGATAATAATAATGACAATAATAATAATAATAATTAAAAAATAAAATAATAATAGTAATAATAATAACAACAACATACTGCAATTATACATATGCATGGCTCTACAAGGTATACTTTCAGTCTTTGATAACTAAATACAAATGTATTGCTGGCATAATTACAGAGAGTAAAACCTCACACGCCACGAAGAAGCTGGTAAATAGACTGTATTGGAGTTTTCTTTTTTGGTCAAAATAAACACATTTTTTAGCATCTCACGTCGTTAAATAGCATACATCGAAAGCAAAAAAAAAAACCACCTCTATGCAGCTATGGCTTAAATAATACTCATTGAAGGGAACGTTAGAATTATCTAAAATGGTCACACAGTTTATTTTTCAAAAGAGGTTTGCTGTCATAACTTATCCTCACAAATACACATAAAGTACAAGAAAAGGGAGTATAACGTCTAAGAGTCTTGTTATCCTGAAGTCTGGATACCACAAAGAGCAGAAGGAAATCTGGATGTGAGGACAAGGAGAAGGAGGAAGAAGAGGAGGAGGAAGGAAGAAAAGGAGGAGGAGGATGAAGAGGAGGATGACAAGAGGAGGGAGAGCAGAAGGAATTGGAGCAGAAAAGGGAGAGGAAAAAGGCGGGGTACCGGTTGTAGTTAGAAAGAAATTGAGGGAAAGGAGAGAAGGAGGGTTTGAAGAGATGAAGAGATGGGAGGAGAATTTTCACTTTATAAAATGTAAGCACTTGCAATAATTGTAACCTCACCTTTCCCACGGACTGGACGCCCTTGATGATGCACAACACAACGATAATGGAGGCTACGACCAGGCCCAAAACCGTGTGCCAAGGGAGACCATCAGGGTAAGCAAAACCAGGGGATGATTCAAGGATGTTGTGCCTTTAAAGGAAGAAAAGACGGAATGTTATTAAGGTGACCAATGTTATTCATGTATTATTATACGGTACAATGCACAACAAGAGCCTGGCGTAAATTGTGTATTATCGCCAGAATCATCTCTTGTCTCGTCGTAATCTAGGTAAACATCTTTTTCTCTATGTATGTTACATTAACGTTAGCGCTGTTGCATTGTGTATTTTTAAAAAGCCTCCCACTTAAGTAATCTTTAAATAAGGTGTCACCTTTCAATTTAAAAGTGGATGAGTCTGTCTCTCGGTCTCTCTGCCCTCCCATTTACGGGTCTGTATGTTTGTCTGTTTGTAGTTTTCTCAACTTTCTATCTCACACATTCTCTATTTTAGTTTGTCTTGTCTGTCTGACTGTCTGTCTGTCTCCCTCAGTCACTCCCTCTCTCTCTCTCTCTCTCTCTC